CCTCAAATTTGACCTAATCATAATTTTAATTATATAGTGTAATTTTTGAGTAATTATATTATTTAGTTTTCATTTCTAAGCCCACCGCATTTATGATTTTTTTTTCTTCCGAATTTTTGTCTAATTTCATTCATTCTTCTTTCTATATACACTGTATAATGTTTAAAACAGCATAATACTGATGACAGATTAAAAAAATTACAAAATAAAATAACAGTATAATATATATTTAATTCTCTTAAATAAAATATTAAATTCACATTTTATATATATAATATTCTTAAAAGAAATTATTCCACCACGATATAGAAATGATCGTCTGGAACTAGAACGCTGAAGATTTAGTTAACGAGTAATGGAAACGACATGTTATTAAATACAGTACTAATAACAAAATGTTTGCTACCTATGCATGAACAGCCAAAGGGCAAAGAAACAGATAGAAGACAACTGTTTATTATATCATCTATGTATGATATCATATAAATTACCAAAGCTAAAACAATGGAGCTGTTGGACTCTTCCTACGACATCTCATTATATTATGTTCCAGACAAGTAGCCATGTCCGCCGTCTGTCTTTTCCTGTCGTCACTGTTTTTTAGCATTTCAACAGTATTTGTATATTTACACAGCATATTATTATTTTTTTATAGTTTTTTTATTCTTTTGTATACACCAATTTGGATCTCTTGAGAATTAAATGTTCAATTTATTTTAAAAAAATGTCTTCATTATAATTATCATTCTTTTTCCTTTTTTTTTTAACATTAATAATATCATCATTCATAATTTTCCTGTTAATGTTTATCTTAATTTTATACTAACTGATAGTGTCTTTTTCTTGACACCTGAGGGTGAAAGCAACACCTTTTTCTTTTTTGGTAATTTAAAGGGGCAATGGGTGTTTGATGGCGTGAAAATAAATGCTTGGCAGTTTAGCTGTTAAAGAGTCGCTATAAATTGTTGTGACTCAATTTAGCCCATTTTGGATACTCTTTATATTTTAATATTTTTCCTTCGTTGGGTTTTGAGTGTTATTTTGAATCCATCGATGGTTGAAAGATTTAAAATACTAATTAAAATTATAAGTTTTCTTTCAAGCTCTTCCAAGATCAACATAAGCACTTGTATAAGTTGAAATAAGATATGTCTATAAACTTTTCAAAATGCTAACTTATTCCATTTTAAAATACCAGCTGTTATTTTATTAAAAAAATGAATGTAAATAATATTAACTTCGAAATAAAATTTAATTAATTATCATCTTACTGTGTTAATATTTTATTTTATTTTCATTTGAAATACCAAGAAATAAATATAAAGTAAAAACAATTAATGCTATATTAATGTTTTGAAATAATTGAAAAAATGGAATTATTCATAAAAAGAATAAGGAAATGTAACAGACATCTATTAACGTTTAAATTAAATAATAACTAAGATAAGTTTTAAATCATTTATTTATTTCTTCAGGTAGAATTTGAAATAGAGTATCTTAATCTAAATTTCTTTTCTTGGGATAAAATTGTTAAAAAGATAATTCTTAAAAAATTTATAAAACATATATATTTTATTGTTATTTAATTTTATAAAAAAATATTTATTGTTATCATAAAAATAATAATTTTATAACTAATTATCACCAGAAGATATATCGATCTATAGGAAAGGAAAAAATTAATTCCAAAACATTTATTTTATGAAAAGTTACTCAATAATTTTTCCACTTTTTACAAGTTTATTTAATTAGGTAAGACATAGCAATATTAAACATAAAGCAATAAGTATTAGAGTAAAATCAACTTATCAACTAATGATAAACAAATCCCGTGTTCATATACGTCATGGTTTCAAATAGCACAAATGTTTTTTTCCCAGTTGGGAGGAGATATTTTTTTACATCTTTTATATTTAAATTATATTTTTAGCATACATGTGCATAAAAATGATAAAAATAATAATGATAACACGCAATATATCAATTTTTAACAATTCAAATAACACAACTGTTCAATATATAAAAGAATACATAAAATAAAGTATATATAATCTCGCACCTTCTTGACCAAAAGAGATTTTAATCTTTCAAAATGTAAATCACAGAATAAAGTATGCAGAACTAGATGAATAAATAAATAAATAAATAAATGATCGCATATTGAATACTGTTGTGTTGTTCGCATCTTATCTTCTCAAATAATGTCTCGTGTATCACAAAGATTGTTTCTCATAAATAATACTTATAATCTTAATTAAATTATTTGAAAAAGTCAAAGTGGGAAAAATAACATATTGAACCGAAAAATGCTCCTGCAATACCATTAGGAATAAGCACGAAGAAAAGAGAAAGTGGAAACAAATCCCTGTATTAGAGGGGCACATCACTTTTGTTAGAAAATAGAAAGCAAGTGAAAATAAACCTTGAGTCACTAATTAACAACTTGTCCATAAATTATCAATAAAGTATATGATATCAAGTTGATCTGCTGATGATTTAACAAGTTCACCTTTAGTTTCTTTCTTCTTTCCTTTTTTTCATGTCTAATGGGAGTGTTTTAGAGACTTATTTAGATTAAAAAAATAAGAACAATATTTTTTTTGTCTGAAAAACTTGTTCACGAAACATGCATAAACTCGTGTAGGTGAATTTAAATTGAAAAAAGAAATAGACAAATTAAAGAAGGAAAAATATTATAAAATAAAATGAATTTAAAAAATAACAAATCAAAATGTAGAGCCTATCTATATACATAGCATAGAACACAGTTTAAAAGACTCGCGAGACAAGTCATGTGAAAGTTTAAAATAAATAATTTGGTCCAAATTCCGTCATAAATGACATCCAATCATGCCCTTCAAGTATGAATTATCATATGTACTATTTAGCAAATTGTATGAAATATATATAATATTTTAAATAACTATTTTATTAAAATTAATAAAAAAATTATTATATATCATAAATATATATAATATTTTAAAAATATTTATGACATTAAATGATTAAATTAATAAATTATACGTGAATTTTTTTATTTATATAAATAATAAATGAGTGTTGCATTAACACAAAATTTATAATATATAAAACATAAAAAAATATCTAATAATTGAAAAATGCTATCGACTACATTTAAAAATAGAAATATTTCATTTATACATGATATTTCTTATAAAAAATAAAGAAGTCGATATCCAAATTTATTAAACGAAGACAAATACCTTTTAATTTTTTTAAAATAATAAAAATAATTAAATCTAAACACACCCTTAACATTAAACTATGAAAAATATTAATCTTAGACCAAGTTTAACAAAACCTTAAAATGATAAGTACTTAAAGTTTTATCTCAGTGATGTATTTTAATTTTAATGTTGATAATAACCTTTAATTCTAATTTAAAATAAAATTTTACTTTTGATTAAAAAAACATCAAGACTACTTATTATATACTTAAATTTTATCCTTAAAAATTTTTCAAACAGTTGAAAGGACAAAATTTTCTTATATAATGTGTGCTTGGAGGTTGATTTTAAATATTTTAGAATTTATTTTATATTTTATAAATATAAATATTTAATAAATTTGTGTAATTTTTAAAAATTTATTGAAATAATGTATATTTACTTTTTCTTAAACACAATTTCAAGGTCTGTATGTCAAAAAAAATTGTTCGAGAGTTAAAAGAAAACTCATAACTCACAAAACTGGTCAGTGATTTGCACAACAACAAAAAAAATCAAATTTAATAAATTAATTTAACAGGTTTCAATAAACTTCTTTTCAACTTTAAATTATGTTATTAATTATCTTTACCTAACATCCTTGTAGCATCCTCGAGCTAGATCAACAAGCAGAAGGGGTTTTTAGGATATCTACCCTGTCTCGAACACTCCTACATTACTTGTTTTAATATTTTTTTATTCTTTTTCTGTTACTTAAATAGGATCATAAACACTTCAATAAATTCAATCTTATGGACTGAGTTTAAGTATTTACAAATAAAAAAAAATTATTATAAAAATATACTGTTACTATATTAAAGTTATAAAAATATAATAAATATTTTTATTTCTAATAAAATTTTAATATTATTAACTGATTATCCTTAACTTTAAAGGTTAAAGTTAACAAAATTTAATTTTAAATAATACAATTTATTCTGTCCGAAAAATTTTATTTGAAATTTATTAATAAACTTCAAAAAGTGAAATATTAATTATAAATTTAACTGAAAATTATTAAAATAAATTAAGAAAAATTTGTCACTATAAAATTCTCTATTTTTTTAATAAATAATTATAACATTTATACAATTTCGTACAATACTTTCAATAAGGCAATTTGTGCTTACTAACTCCATCACATCACTCATCTTATTTCATACTTTTTATCTCTCATGAATAGAAATAAATGAAAATTTATTGTAAAAAATATTTTTCATTTCCTAACCTAAAGAGAAAATTGGAAAAAAAAAAATACACAAGGCCAAATTGAGCTATCATTGGTTAAAAAGATTGACACACCAGTGGATCACACTATGTTCACGTGTAAAGTTAATCTATTCAAACTCTATTTTGTAAAATTTTATCAAATCAGTGAACAATTATCACAATAAAATAAACTCAGCTATGACACTATGCCTAGAAGTTACCATTTCGGCAACAAATTATGGAACTTGAATTAAAGACATTCATGAAAAAGGCTTCTTGTTAAATATAATTACAAGCTTTATTTTCAGTATAAAACAGTTAGGAAATGAAAACAATAGCCGCTGCAACAAAAAAGCAAAAATATTTCCCCCAGACCTACAATTTTATGTTTCTCTTCGTGGGGCCAAAGTGGGAATGAATAAGATTCGAAAGTGGCATAAAGTGGTGCCCGAAAAAACAACACAATCTTTAAGAGCATGCAGAAAGACGGTTAGAGAAAGTAAAATTAAAGAATAGCGTCAACCACTTAAATTAATAACAATAATTGATAATTGATACGTCGTTATGTACATATTTTGTGCTGTATGAACCAGATTTATTCAACATCTACCTAAACTTCTATGTGCCACCAAAGAATCCAATACTATATTTCACGTCTCACAACCTTTCTACCAAGGCCGACAAGCTCTTCTGCAATTCCAAATCTCTCCTAAATCCTCCCACCTCTTCACGCAAAGCATTTAAAATTGTGGGGACAGCCAATCCCTCCAGCTGTATATGGTCAGTTTCACCTACCAAATCCAACCCAACCCAACTAAGAACAACTACTATCACCAAATTCCGCCTTTACTTTATATGTACACAAAGCCCAAACCTGAAGCAAAGAATATTATGCTATAAAAGTTGCAAATATCTTCCACAATCCTAAATTCCATCTCTCTCGATCCCCGCCCTTTTCTGCTTTAAGAACAAGATTTGATTAAACCCAAATTGTACAGATTCTTTCTCACGAGGCTCCCAAGACACAACAACACTGCCCCACCAACTCCAACTGACTGATCTTCCCCCTCTGCCTTCTGATGACATACAAATGGCAACTCCTTCACAATTAAATGGCTTAACCCAATTTTCTGCCTGACAGATTCAATGATTTTTGGATCAGCAGGGTATCCAATCGCATCCGTTACATAGAAAACGTTGGAAGCCATGTCCCCAATGGTAGATATCTCGGCCCTTGTTACATTTAGCCCATTCTCTCGGAACGTTCTCATCACCTCAGCTAAAAGTCCCTGCCTGTCCTTTGTGTATAACTCTAGCCTGACGCCCTGTATCCAAAAAATTAGTAACTGTTTGATCTTAGGAATCCACATAAAAAGGTCAGAACAATTTAACAAACAAAAGTTAAAAAAGCATTAACTATACCTCATATGCCCTTCTCACCACTGCAGCTTGCAAGCATTGAATCACACGTTGACGCTCTGGCTCTGAACTAATTGGAGAGCCATCCTTGTGTCTTATGTAAAACTCCTGAAGTTTTATTTAATCGTTAATTAAGCATACAAGTCAAACAAAAGACAAAATTACAACGTAATTGAGGTTTAATAATTACCAGGTACGCTTGGTCGATTGTTGTGTTAATAGTAGCATGGAACACAACATATTCCATGTCTGTCAAATTGCACACAACATCGAACAAAAGCTTGATTCGATCCTTGCACTGAACATTAACAACCGAATAACCCCTTTCTGCCCAATTTTGGACGGTGACTAATGGGGTATCAGAAGCAAACTTGAAAATGGGATTCCTCTGGTAATCACGGTCAGTGAACATCATTTGGTGGAGCCTTCTTTCGGTGTGCACAACAGCATTAGTTACGGAAGTTTTTGCACTCCTAATGTCATTGTCTCCCTTTAAAACATTTCTTAAACGTGCTTCAATTATATTAATTTTCTGAGAATCTTCAATAGGGGTCCCAGAATTGCAGTCTTTTACATAGATTAAGGAGGCAGTTCGGCCATTGTGAGTCCAAACCTTGGCCTCCACCACATCACATTGCAGCTCGGATAGTACAGCAAACACCTCAGAAAGAAGACCAACACGGTCTGTGCCGGTTAATTCAAGGGTAGTGAAGCCGTTTGAGTCACTGGTTCTACAGTTGTGAATGCTGCCAAGCGACTGATACATAACATTCACACAGAGGAATCAGGGTACTATCATTAATATTAATATAACAAGAAAACGACACAGAACTACCTTGGCGAATATATTTAAAGCAGTAAAACTACATTAAAGTAAAACTTCAAAACCCACTCTTAATACCTGTTCAATATAACTTAACACGCTCTCATCTGTTAGCTTGTTTCCGTTTTCATCCGTAACATGGAAAACTGTGAGTTGAGTAGGCAAGGATTAGTTTCACCAGCCATGAAAAATATCACAACAAGGAAAAAGAAGGGAAAAGTGGCTTACCATCCATGAACCATCTTCCATCAGAGGAAATGTAAGCCTTCTTAATTAAAAGGTTCAGATCAGTAAGCACTTGTACGGCATCCAAAAGAATCCCATGCTTTCTGGCGCTATCAACCTGTGAAGTTTTATGATAGCAAAATTATTAGTATTGTATTTTCTTGATTTACATAAAAATAAACAATTGCTGAAAAAAAAAATGAAGAAGTTTCGTGCGAAGTTACCTTGACTATAGTCGCAGTGGAGCAAACGGCATTGTCGATGACAACCCTGTTTCATAGTGAAAAATCAAAGTCAGCGAAATTGCAAATATTTTTGGATAATTTTTAAGACTGGATAAAGCACAAAATTTAAAAAGAGAAATGTGAATGCACGGGCATTGAAAACGGAAAGAAAAACATTCTGGATGAAAAAGCGGAATAGAGTTGTAGACACGATGAGGAAAGAAAAGTCAATAAATTGTTATAATACAGTTGTCGGTACAAATCTATTGATAGTCGGTGGGGATTAGGAAAAACATACTTTTCTTAACCTTCAATATTTTTGACACAATCTCAGAAGATTAGAAAATTAAATTATTAAAACCGATATAATATGCCAAAAAAAAAAGTTTAAATCGATGGCGAATAATCTCCGTAGACAAGGTAAAGTTGGAAATATATAAATAACAACTATTTTAAACCATGACGCACTTCTACGATGAATTTCAAAGTAAGAGGATTGGAATTAAGAAAATTCAGAAAATGTTAACACCGAAGTAAATATTTTTTTAGAAGCACAAAACAAGGCAGAAGAGGATGAAAGAAGGAAATTAGACAAACAAATTTCAATGAGATTAGGAGGAAATACAATAAAATCTAGAGAAAACTGAAAATCAATCCCACACTTGTAGCCTACAATGACATAATCAGGGATATAGGGTAAATGAAGAATAACAGAAATCACTGAAAAGATAACGAATAACGAAGGAAGTAAATAGACAGACCTTGGGGTGCTCATGCGAATTACGAGCTTCTCGTACTCGTCCGTACAGGTTGGGCACTCCATTTTTGCAGTTTTGAGGTGGAACAATATGTTGCTAGCTTTGAGAAACCCAGAGAGAAGAGAAGAAACCCCTATTGAGCACAGGGAACAGCTAACCCGTTTTATATAACTGTAATAAGTAAGAAACACCCGAAACGGCGTTAACCGGCGATTCGGAACGACGTTTCAGTAAATGGTTGTGATGTGTCTGAATCTCAGGCTGAGGAAATCCAATATAGTATATAGATGAAATTGGCTTAAAATTCCAAACGGTGGCTTTTAATGCGCTACCTCCTTCGATCAAATCGCCATAAACCACTCTTACCAAACTCTCTCGCATTCGCTGTGCGTTGGTGTGAGAGTGCTAGACTTACTATTCTCTCTCTTCACTCTCTTTCTTCCAAGCGCAAGGCACGCCTTGATCTTAACTCTTCTGCCCGTTTCTTAAACCGCATACAATACGTATTTATATTTATGACATTTTATTCTTTTCCTTATTTTATTTCCACGCCTATCCGGGGAGAGAGAGAAAAAGAAGTTTCAGTTATGAAGCTGCGTGACATGGCGTGACTACCGCCTGCCCCATATTCTGCCCGTCCTGACCGTACTTACTAGTATTTTTTACAGTTCCAGGCACAGTTATCTTCTCCCGTAGGTAAACCAACCACGACGGCACACCTCTTAGGGTAGTTACGGTCCAGCTGGGACGACACGTGGAGTAGCTTTGCGTGCTTTGGACTCAACAGCACAGCGGCAAACAGAAGAGGGGTAGACCAGTGGGGTCAAACCACGTGGCACTCTTGGGACCCTTGTAACAATCAAGTAATCTTGGTAATTAAGGTGTGATTTGCCGACGCCAATTATGACATCCGCACGTGACACCACCGCTCATATCGGCTTTTCCCCCATCCCTTCTTTTTGGCCAAATATTCTTGTATTTCTCTCTTGTATTCTGCATACCTTTCCTTATATATATAACCCTATATACTCGTTCTCCGTTTCGTTCATAATACGCCTCATATTCGTTCTTCACAAGATTTAAGTTCATCATCAGTGCTAAATGATTTTTAATTAATTCCTCTCAAAAGCATCTGTATTGTATTTTTAATTAAAAAAACTCTTCAAGATATTGATTACAAAATTTTAAAATATGAAAATACTATTAATGCGCACTTAACGTAATTTTAAATATAGTTTTATGAAATAATATTTTTTAACCCTGTATCTTTAACAATGTCCTTTAATTAAAATATAAATTTTTAATCCTTTAAATTAAGGAATAAAATAACTTCCATTGATTGATAGGATCATAACTTTGATGTTTGCGATCGTGTTTCGAAATGTTTTGGACTGTGTTAATACCGGTAAAGAATTCGCCATATTAATAGTTTCCCTCGGCAGCACTTTTAATTAATTTCAGAGTTTTTATTCTATATTTCAAATAGAATCACAAAAGTAAAATATCTCGTTGCTAAAGTTTTCGATTCTGTAGTAATTAGCGAGTTTCAATGTATTCAGATATTATTGTAGTAATTAATGTAGTTTTTTTTTATTGTAAAAGAAACTGAAAATAGACCTTTAGTTGAATAAAAACGCATGCAAAAGGATACAGGTGAGACTCAATTATGAAGGTGTGTGATTTATAGAGAAATTAAATGATGTTTAACTTTTTTTTTTTTTAATTGTTGTTGTTATTAATTAATTAATAAATAGGCAGAGATAAAGTTACTTCATCAATATTTTTATTAAAAACATTTTTAAATAAATTAAGTGTACACAAAATTATACAAATAAAAAATAATTAATAATTTATCAGACAAATTTATTTTAATATTTAAAATATAAGTAAATATTTATTATTAGATTATATATATATATATAGAAACATTTAATTTTTGTAGAAACTGATAACGAATACATAACTTTATTTAATAGTTAAGTCGATAAAATTTAATATTTATAAAAATTATCAAATAAAATAATTCTAAAAAAATTAAGGTAACTTAGTTTTTGCTAATAATAATAATAATAAATACATCTGTTTAAGAATTAGTTAAAATTTCATTAACAGTGTTGTCAGTATATATACAGGAATAGGAAGACATCGTTTTTTAGTTTTCATGTTGTTTCGATAAAAGCCCCACATTGCTTCTTTAGATATTAAATTAAAAATATTCAGCCGTGTGCCAAAAAATATTAAATCATACAATTACCAAGCATTTAAATGCCTCCTTAACCTATGTTTATGTTGAGAAAAAAAAAAGAATTTTTTTAAGTGTAATACATTTTCTTATTTGATTAAAGAAAAATATGCAGGAACAGACAAAAATTTCTGTTAATTTTTTTCAATTATGACTTCCGTTCCTTAAAAGTAAAAATAAATACAGTTAAAAAAAGGGTTAAAATAGATGTAAATTAGGAATGTTTTTATACTATTTTTTTTAGTCTACAAGTATCATGAGGCAATTTTATTTTATACGATTTTAAAACCTGTTTATTAAGTAATTTGAAAATGTATTTTAAGAATAAGAATATCGAAAAGATTTCCGTTAACGGGGCCATTGATAAAGCGATTTATCTGGAAAGGACAAGAAAAATGTGAACCGCTTAATTATAGTAGTAGTATATGGTAGAAACAGCAATCGATCCAGCTATGATTTATTTCCCAATTAATTATAATATTGAAAAGGCGTAATTGGATTGGTTGCGAACAACGAACGAACGAACGAACGCACGCATGAGTGACTGATAAGGTAGCCGTGGAGGCATCTCCCATGCCTCCTTCTAACTTGTAACGGTGTTTTGAAATTGAATCGCGAATCTTCGACACGTGTCAGACAAAGAGAGATCTTCACCACAAGGAGAGGGATCACTGATACTGTCTTATGTCACATGGAACGCAGTGACGTGATAAACGAGCGTGGGTTAAGAAGAGGAGGATATAGCGGGAAGGGAGGATTATTCCCGCCAAAGGCGGACCTAAAAGGGTGCATGGGCCCGTTTATTTGAAAATTGAAATGGAGGGTGCTGAGGAGGCAAAGGAATGATTCGAAAATGGGTAAAGGGCAATGTAGGGAAGGGGAGGAGAGAACCAACATTGATTGGAGGGGACTTGTGGGGGCCCACTATTTTCCCCTTTCTTTCCTCTGTCTACCTCTCCTCTCGCGCCACTTTTTGACCGTTACCACCCCCTTTGGCGCCAATTTCCAAAACGCCACTCCATAATCTCATCCATGTTCTCCTCTAACAGTGATATTTTGTTTCGATGAGTTTCATTTTCTACCTTCTACTTCTCTTGGTCTCATAATTTTATGTTCATTTTTACATTAAATAACTATACTTATTACTTAATGAACAATACGCACGACTATAATACCTACTCTTTTTTCTTTTTTAAAGTTTAGACTGATTTGAACTTTACCGTTTTGGTCTCTAAAACGAGATGATGCCTATGGAGAAAAGTGAGTCAGAAATTGTTAAGCTCAAACACACATTTAGCTGCTTACATTCCCCAATTTCAGGATTTTTTTTTTAAATGTGGTATTTAAAAATTGTATATACAAAAGTATGGTTTTTTTAATAAATTACAAAAATATACTGTTTAAAAATTGTTATTGGTGATTTTTTATGTAAGTACAAAAGTTCAGAGATGGAAAATCGAAAAAATGATAAAGGCTTAAAAATAATTGACCATATTTTAGTAATTTTATCAAAAATCTCATATTTTAGTATTTTTTTTAAAAAATTATAATAAAAAAAATAACCCCCAGTTTGACCGTCGAGAGTAAAATGGTGTTGTAATATATTTTCCTTTTAATATTTTTAACAACTTAATGTCATTTTATTAAAACTAAATACAAAAATTGTCTTTAACAATTTAAAAACACAAAAAATAAAATATTCACTTATTTATAAATGAAAATTATCAAAAGTATAATATTACTTAATCGGGTTAATCTAGTTTAATCGAGTGTAAAGTGCAAGTTTTGGATTAGACTTTCACTTCTAGTTTTAAGTACAACTAAGAAGTGATATTTTTTGTCCCTATGGAATAAGATAAAAAACTCAAACTGAGTCGATATAATGTGAGTTGGATAATCTGATTTGTTAACTCTAAACATACTCTATTGGTACTTTTGATAATAAGTTTAACTAAATTATACAAATAAATTGTTGACAAAAATGTTACATAAATAAATAAACGTATCGACAAAGATAAAAAAAATTCTTAATTTTTATAACTTAATCATTTTTATTCTTATCTCATATCATTAAATTCAACCACATCATCAATATTTAATTTTTTTTATGTTTCTACCAATATTATTTATTATGTACAAACATAATAATAAATAGATAATATAATAAATGTTTTTATTTTTTGAAAAGGTGTATTTGAATTGATTGTGAAACATAAACATATAAAGATGATAAATTTAATTGAATAATAATAATTTTTTTAGTAAATTCTTATTATATTCTATAATTGTAAGACAATCATTAAAGAAAACTATATTATAAAAATTCATATTACTATTATCTAGATATTTGATATTTTACGCAACTAGTGTAATTTTGATTCGGGAATACTTTTTTATTATTTTTAAAAAGTAAATTAGTAAGTCATCTTTTTTAAAATATAACTTATACATTTTACTTAAAATAAATGTAATTATGTATAAAAAAAATTATGTAAACTATATTTATATTTTTAACCTTTTTTAACAAAAAAAAAAACTTTATCTAGTTTACTGCCTGCTTTTAAAAATAAACTGATAGACCTAATAAAACCTCTAATATTAGAAGTGAAGCTATTCTATAATAATGTTTTTAAAAGGTTATATAAACATTATATGTAAATAAAAAAATATTTGTATTTATAAATTAATTAATGTATGATAAAACATAATAACAATAATTAATTAAAAAATATTAACATTGATCATTGAAATTAAGAATAAGTATTGTATTTAATTTATATAATTGACATTTATCTACTAATTAGTGTTATACTTAAAAAGTATATTTTAGTCTCTTTATAAATTATTTGTTACATTTTAGTTATTATCATTAACAGTATTAAAATAATATAATCAAAATATAACAACACTTAATATAGATATTAAAACATAAATTTTTTAAATATAAATATTATTTCATAAAAAATATTAACTATATGAATCAAATATATATTTTACCTAAAAATGAAAAAAATAGTGAACTTATCTAAAAAAATTATAAATGATGTAATAAATAAAAAATTGTGAATTTTCAAGACATTAAAAACTAATGTATTTAAGTTGAAAATCATTATTTATGGTTCAAATTCTACATTTATTGATATATAACTTATAACTTATTAATTTAATAAATATATAGATTAATTAAAAAAATATAATTATAATTAATAAAATATTTAAAAT